TTTTCTATTGTCTTGATTTCTTTCAGTTTATTTATGCTCGCACAGATTGTTCAATTGACCATTTCCAAGCCTACCGTAAGATAGGCTCACGAGCTGGAATAGACCACAGAGAAACGTGATGGATTTCGTTTATTAAAATGTATGATTGAAAATGAAGTTTTATCATTTATAAATGAAATTATAAACTTAGCCAAACAGGTATATTGTTTCCAACCTTTAGCAAACTTTGCACACTTGTTCATTTCTACGATTTGTTGAGTTGTTACATGACCTCTTGGATCATACATGACCTAATTTTCTCGGGGAAAATAGTCACAGTTCATTTTCACAAGTCACAAATATACTAGTTTTTTTGCTGCAGTTATTTATAATGTCTTTTTTATGATATTATGCTCTTAAATTTTCTAAAATATAAATTCAGGGCTTGTCTGGCCCCGCTTCTACCAATTGATTTTTGGAACGTTGCTTCCTCTGATGGGACCCATGCAAGAGAGAACTAGTCAACAAAGGTGGGCTGATTTGGTGCCCAACGGTCAGAAAAATGGCATTTCTTGGCTTTGAACGGTAGGAATTTTAATTATAATCAATCACAGACAGCCTCAATATATTCTAAAGCAAAAATAACAAAGTTTTTGAGTGGTTTGACATTTCTCTCTCCAACTTTAAATCTTGTGAAAGTACATGCGATTTTAATTTTCACATTCATTATTTCTGTCATGTAAAGACTCAGGTTTAAATTTAAATAAATGAAGTACTCAAAATTTGACTTAAAGGATTGTAGATGTATAACAATGCGTTGGGGAAAGTTTAAGAAGCTTGTAGATGTATAACAACACTTTAAAGATTGTAGATGTGTAACTTTTTTTTGTTCAGAGTACGGAGAAACTTCAGGAGCTTGTGGATAAATGGGAGGGTATACCACAGGCAGCATCACGATATAACTTGAATCTTTTTGCTGACAAAGAGACATGAAGCCGAAGATTCTCTTGCAAGACTACAAGATACGAGTCCCCATCAATTGGCTATGGAAGTTGTCCGCAATTTTGTTGCCTTCCAGCATAATGGGAAAATCGAGCGAGCTAACCAGAGGGATTATCACTTGTGCTGGGTTGCATCAGATGCACATCTCTTTCTGCGCTCTTATTGGTTAATAACAACTAGAAACAGCGGATGGTGTGACGTCATTTTGGATATACCTTGTTAAGTGTTTTACTTGTTTATTAACCTCATTTTCTTATTCAGTTTTCTTGAGTTTGAATGCAACGTGCACTTTACTAGAATTGAGTAGGCTTACATGTGTTTACTTGCACCTGCTGTAGGGAAGTGGGAACTTTTATGATTGATTGTTGTATATGTTATGCAAAGGCTTATGAAATAAAAGAATTCTACTTACTGTTATCAACTCTATGGCATCAGTCTTTGCAGCCTTGGCAACGATAATCCTTTGTGTTCAGAATTGTGTGGGTCGAGAATGGGATTGAAGCCTTGAAGGTGGATTTACTTAAATTTAAGTTGCATTTAAAAAGGAGTTTATAATAATTGATTATTTGCATTGAAAATAAAGCAAGCATAAAGTACGTAGCATGCACAAAATACTTGAGAGAAGCGGATATATTAGGACAGGAACCAGGTTTTACATTCTTCCCAGATTAATGAACAAAAGCAGGTGTACAAAGGCAATGCCAGTTCTCAATTGCGACAAATGCGTGCAGTAGGCATAGTAACACAAATAGGTGCATACTTCTTTTTAGCATCTGGGGTTCCGGGTTTGGGCATGTCTGCCATGGCAACTTTGGCAATGGAGCATGCAGCAGCAGCAGCAGCCACTGCAAACATCAAGTCCCTTCTGGTGCTGTTGTTTCTCTCTTCCACCATTTTTCCATTCTGGGAATCCTTGGAGGCCTTAACCACCACCATGACACGGCAGGAGGTGGTGGCTGCTGCGGCTGAGCCACCCAAGAATTAAGCAGTCATTGTCATGGAAGCCATTGTTTGAAGCCTAGATGATCAAAAAAAAATTCAGTCTGTGCTGTGCACAAGAATGGGGCTAAGTTAGTTTTGTTGGTTGAAAGTGTAATGTGCAACATCATACAAATTTAATCCGTGTTTCCTATACCAAATAGAGATGTGTTCCAATAATTTGTTGATAGATCTTGGCATGAAAATTGGTGGTTCTAAGGCCTTGTGGTGGAGCCTTGAATTGTCCTTATTTTCAATGAATTGGAACTTCTATTTTTTTCCTTTTCTTTTATTTATTTATAGTGTAGACATAATAAAATTGATGCACCATTTATATTTACACTGCTAAGGATAATTTTTGTTTCATTAAAATTCACTTGAAGTTGTCCAAGTAAATTAGGGTTTTATGTGTGAAAATATGGCATAAATAAACTACCATATATAAAAAGTGGATAGGTGAGAAACATTCGATTTTTCATTTTATTTCTATAAATTTTGTTTTAAGACAATAATGCCCTCATTTAATATTCATTATTTCCCTTAATTTATGCATTAAGTTATTATTATATATCCAATAATGTATTGTTATAATGATGGTCAATTTTTATGTTCATTTCCTATCCATACATTAAATTATGATTCTAAAAATATATAATCCCACCAACTCCATTATTTAGAAAAGCAAGCCAATCAGCACGGGCAAGCCATAAAGGGCTATCGATCCCACATAGAGTCACATCTCTAGCGCTTGTTCAAATTGGAATAAGCTCTTCTTGTTCAAATCGCCTCGAAAACCTTGGTTTGGTTTTAGCTCTCTTGTGAGTTCAAATCTTTTCTGTGGTGAGGTTGACCTTGCTTGGGTTCGCTCTCCCTTCTGACTATGCTTT